TGTATTGAGCATTTTACAGACACGTATATGCCTGCAGGAGTCCCCTTTTAGAGGGTTACAGGAATTATGATTGAGATCTCTATTCCCACTATGACTCTAACTGATCTTTCTTCAATAGGGGATTAGAAGCCTCAGGGAGACATGGTAAAGGAGGAAACCCGGTCAAAAGACCAACGTGGTTCTGCTACAGAAAAAGAACGGCCTGTCCTGTAAGGGAATTTCATGATTAAAAATAATAATCATAGGATTTAATCCTATGAAGCTCTTCATACCACAGTCACAGTCTTGGCTGGCCTACTTCCGGTGACGTGCCCTCTCCATCTTCGAAGGCGGTTCATTCTGTCCGCGCACAGCTCTCATTGTTAGAAAGCCTTCCTGAAATGTCTTTCCATGACTCCCACAACCACTGCTTCTCTGGGTAGTTCCTCCTGCTCAATTTCACATCACAAAGAGGTGTTCATTTTTGTTTTCTACCAAAAGTCAAACATACAAACTTTGTATGCCCATTTCTTGTAAGAATGAAGATGTTTGTGGTAACTCGGTGTGTGAAAATTCTATTTTTTTTTTTGCTTTTATTTTGAGGTGTCTTAGGAAGCACTCATGTGTGCAAGAGGAAGATGAAGATAAAGATAGCCACCAGCCCGCCCTCAGGTAATAGCAAAGGAAACTAAGGATGGTGTTAGCGGTTAAATTGTGTGTCGCCCCAAAAACATGGGTTGGCATCCCAGCCCTTGCCAAGGGGGATGAAATCGTGTTTTCTTTGTCATGTTGAGGAGGCCATGCGCACATAGGGTGTGCCCTAAACCTCATCAACTCTGGGTCCCAGAAAGAGCAGATCAGACCAGACACAAGGGAAGACAGCTACCCCTGAGGATCAACAAGAACAAAGGGATGCCTGGGGCTACCAACAAGGAAGGTATCACCAGGCCAAGACCCTGAGAGTGTCTTTGAGCTTCCAGAACTGTGACAACACTAATTTCTGTTCTTTAAGGTCTCCCCTGGTGGTATTTGTAGGACATCAGCACTAGTATTACATCAGCAGACATAAAACCAGAAACCTAGCTTAGGGGTGGGGCTACCTATAAAGAGTGTTAGGTATGCAATGACACAGGAGGTGATACCTTCAAGTGTCTCAGATGCTCTGGCCTAGGGGACTCACTGGTAAGTACAACCCTGGAAGGTATCTTAAATGAAGCCCATTTCGTCTTCTCAGAGAAGAAAACTGGAACCCAGGGAAACTAAGTGCCTTGCCCAAATTAGCATCTAGTTCATAGCAGAGGTTCATGGGGCATCCCTATTCCTGTTCAATGCTCTCTTCGCCACACAGTGTTGGGTTTGCTGATAGCCTGTCTACCATCACATTACTGGGCCAATCATGGGCAATGGCTACGGGACACCCCAAAGCAAACCCAAGCCACACTGGGTTTAAATAGGCTTGACTCCAGATATCTGAATAACCTGATCATTCAGATAACCCAGATCCCAAAGTTCACCAATGCAAGACCAAACAAGAAAGCTAAAACCATCTTACATTAAAGTTATTACCCTTCTACCCCTCTCTGTCCACTCGTTCCCACCTATCCGCTGGTTCTGAACTGCAGGGGTTCCCCGCCAAGCGGTTTCTTTTAATCTCCCATTAAGATAACTTCTTTATGATGAGTTATTTGCTCTTAGAACATAAATATTTGTGAAATAGTTTATTCTTTCTGAAACATGGGAAGCTAAAGCCTCAGCACACTAAGTCAGAGTCTCCAATAACAAGTAAACATCAAATCGATCAGGAACCTAAAGACCAAAAAACCCCAGTGCCATGGAGTCAATTTCAACTCACAGCAACTCTGTACATCAGCTGCAGCCAAACAGTGAAACATTAGAGAGGAATCTTCTTCTAAAAGTCACGACACTGTAGGATTGTAAAGAATCATCTCTTACAGTGAATACTGCGAGATGCTGGTCTACCCCCAATACAGCAGGGAGCTCTGAATGACTGGTGTGGGGACTACAGTGGCCTGGGCAGGCATTGCAGTAACATACACTCATCTTTAGTTATGTCTCCGTACTTTTTTTTTTTTTTAACATTTTATTAGGGGCTCATACAACTGTTATCCCAATCCACACACACATCAATTGTGTAAAGCGCATTTGTACATCGTTTCTCAAAACATTTTCTCTCCATTTAAACCCCCGACATTAGGTCCTCATTTTTCCCCTCCCTCCCCGCTCCCCCCTCCCGCATGAGCCCTTGATAGTTTATAAATGGGTATTTTGTCATATCTTGCCCTGTCCGACTTCTCCCTTCATCCACTTTTCGGCTCTCTGTCCCCCAGGGAGGAGGTCACACACAGTTCCATGTAATCAGTTCCCTCTTTCCTACCCATTCTCCCTTTACCCTCCCTGTTTCGCCACTCACACCACTGGTCCTATAGGGCTCATCTGTCCTGGATTCCCTGTATTTTCAGTTCCTATCTGTACCAGTGTACCTCCTCTGGTCTAGCCAGACTTGTTTGGTCAACATCAACACAATGTAACCCTGCAAATAGGAATTCTGTGCTTTTTCTACCATTGTGTTCTTCTAAAGAAAAAGGTAAGTTAACCCTACAAAAAGACTAATCCATGTCTCAAAAGCATTTTAGGGAAGGCATCTTTTATGAGTCATTTATATGGCAACATGATTAAAGACTTCTTAACTGAGTAACAGAGATCTGGCAACAGTCATTGGTTTTAAAGCAACTTATTCCTTTACTCCTGGGTTATGAGTTATCTGGGAACCTATGTTAGTTTGTTTTTTTTTAATTGTGAATTAGGTGGAGGTTGGCATTTCAGGTCATCAATTTTGTATTCAACATTTTAGTCTACTAATCAACCTCCAGCCCCCAGCAGCCTATCCCACTACGTCAGCATTTTAAAGCCACCGAGAATGAGTGCTGGGAGAGGGGCCGTGGAAAAGAGAAAGATCCTCCACAGAATGGACTGACACCGTGGCTCCAACAATCGCTCAACTATAACAACATGCGAGCACGGTGCGGGCATGGACAGTGTTTCCTTCGGTGCTACACAGAGTCGCCAGGAGTCGAAGGCGCTGACTCGATGGCACCTAACAACAAGAATTAGTGCAGTCTCAGTTCAGTTAAGGATGGACCACGGACGGATGAGGCACCACAGTGCCCACATCACACCAGGCATGGGTAGACGGAGCACATACATTCCCAGGGCCTGTGCTGACTTTGGGTGGGTAAGCTCTCAAGTGCACGAGAACAGAAAATAAAAGCCTGGCTCACTCAGGACCCCCCAAACCCAAAACCAAACTCACTGCCATGCAATCGACGCGGACTCATAGCGATCTTACAGGACAGGGTAGAGCTGCCCCTGTGGGTTTCCGAGGCTGTAACTCTTTACAGGATTAGAACCACCCCTCTTTCTCCCGAGGAGCAGCTGGTGATTTCGAACTGCTGCCCTTTTGGTTGGCAGCCCAACTCATAGCCACTATGCCACGAGGGCCCTGGCCCCATAGCCCACAGTAAGGCAAAATATTAAATAATAATAATAAATTTTAAAAAGCGAAGGAAAGCTGTAAGGTGCGGCCATCCCAGAGTCCACCTTCCATTAACTATGTACTCATGGAGGCCACACTTCCTGAGGCCACTGACGTCATCCACCCTGGCAGAGAAGATCCGAAACGTCCACCTTTAAAACAAGAGAGGGCAAAAAGAAGACACAAGGCTGGTGGGCAACAGAGAAGAATACTTCCCTATTAACATATTGCACAGGGGTGAATAATGCCCACCCAGAGTGGCTGTCTTTTCCAGAACTTCGGAATGTGGCCATATTTGGAAATAAGGTCTTTGCAAATGTAATTAGTTAAGGTGAAATTAAACTGAATCAGCATAGGCCTTAAATCTAACGATGACCCCCTGTCCTCAAGCTGATTCCAACTCACAGCAACCCTAGGGAGGGCTTCTGAGGTTGTAGACCTTAACGGGAACAGATGGTCTCATTTTTCTCCTGAGGGATGGCTGGTGGATTTGAACTGCCGACCTTGCGGTGAGCAGTCCAACGCTTACCAGATTACACCACCCAAACCCACTGCCACTGAGCCAATTCCAAGTCAAACCTCAGACCTTGCATTTAGTAGCTAGCTCAACCGATAAGCCATGACGCCACCAAAACTCACACCAAACCAAGCTCACAGCCATTCTGTTGATTCTGACTCATAGCAAACCTTCATGACAGAGTAGACCTGCCCCTTTGGGTTCCTAAAACTTTAAACTATCTGGCAGGCAGGCAATCTCATCTTTCTCCCAGGGAGCAACTGGTGGGGTCCCAATGCTGACCCTACAGTTAGGAGCCCAACATCACCTGACCTACTGTGCTACCAGTGGTCCTGAACTCCAGCATGACTAGCATCTTTATAAGAAAAGGAGATGTCACAGGAACACGCCTGGGGAGAAGACGCTGCAAAGAGGAAGGTGAAAGCTGGACGGATGGATCTAGACACTGAACACGCCAAAGATTGTCAGCAACTTCTAGAAGCTGCGAGAGGTGAAGAAGAACCCTTCCCTAGAGACTTGGGGGGCCACCGTCCTGCTGACACCTTCATTTTGAACTTCTGGTCTCCAGAAGAGTGAGCGGAGACGTTTGTGTTGTTTGAAGTCACCCAGTTTGTGACTATTTTGTGGCAGCAGCCTTAGGGACGGATGTACATAGGGTCCAAACGTGATGCCTTTTGAACACATTTAGGGCAAGTCTTGATCAGATAGGAACAGCCTGGAAGTGAGGTCTTGGGCAGTCCTCATGCCCCCCAAAACCAAGGCCTCCAGCCCCAACACCCACTGCTTGCTCTCTCTTTTGCTTCTGGCAAAAAAAAAAGGGGGGGTGGGTTTAATTTGTTCTGTGTCTTTCCAGGATGGAGAAAATTCTGGAAAGAAGGCTTTCACCATCTCACAAACCCCAAACAAAGTATCACCTTGCTCCCGAGCAGCCCAGCCCGGCGAGATCCCTACCTTCAGAAACGGCTTTCCGGACGGCTGCCACATAAATCTCAGGCTCATCATCACACGTGAGCTCCTGCCAGTGGGCCCAGTCCGGAAAGAAGTCGAGGAACTCCTCACTGTCCTGCACCCCGCAAAGCAGCCGCACCATGCGGTGTGGAGGGTGGAAGGCTCGCTGCAGAAGGGGCCGAGCGGTCGGCTGGTAGAAGTGCTGCACCAGCTCGGCAGACAGCAGGACCATGATGCATCGGGTGCTGAGGAAGAGGCTCAGGTCCTTGGCGGACAAGGAGGCCCTGGGGTCCAGCCTGTGAGTCAGCATCTTCTGCGTGCGGACCTGCCGACTGGACAGGAAAAGGTCCTGCAGGTACTGACACCAGTCTTCGGCATCTGGGCTGTAGACGAGGAGGATGTCGCACCCTCCAAGCACCCCTGGGAAATAACGAAGTACAGAGCATGTTAAAACCCCTCCTCCTTCTCGGGCTCCCCAAGACCATCCAGATGAGGGGCCTCCTACCCACCATCTTTCACAGTCGGCCTCCAGCATACCTGCCTAATCTCCTTTCTCACTTTCAGTCTACATTCTAACCACCCCAGACGCTCCATCTTTGCTGACAAGTACATACCATTTCCAATCTCTGCATAAGCTATTGCTTCTGTCTGGTATGCTCTTCCCATAGCTGATGTAGAATAGGACGACGATGATGATGATGATAGCAACCAGAACGATCCCAAACATGTTGCCTAATTAGCTCATTTAATCCTTACAGCAACCCAGTAATGTAGGGACTATTTATTATCAGCCCCATTTTACCGAGGAGAAAACAGGCAGGCTCCTTTGCCATAAGACCAGAAGAACTAGATAGTGCCTAGCTACTCAGGAGCAGAGCAAGGATACAAGACCGGAGGCAATCTCTAAATCATGTCCCCCATCCCCAATTTGAAAATGAATTCACACACACACACACACACACACACACACACACACACACAACTGCAATTCCAGGGAGTCAATTCTAACTCATATTGACCTAATAGGCCTATAGGACAGGGTAGAACTGCCCTGTGGGTTTCTGAGACCATACTTTTTAAAGGCATGGAAAGCCTCATCTTCCTCCCTAGGAGCAACTGGTGGTTTTGAACTGCTGGCCTTGGGGTTAGCAGCCTATTATGTAACCCACCATTGCCACCAGGGCTCCTTCCTGATGAACAGACAATGTATAGTACGAGGAGATGCATCAGCGGAAACACCTTCTCTCCTCTGGCCTTGCTGCCTCAGTCAGACCCCTGCCGTATTTGTGGTTCCAGAGAATGTCATTCCATAGCTCCTCTGGTGCCTCCTCTGGTACCTCCTAGGACCGCAGACGGGGCGTGTGCTCCTTTATGTTCCCCTTCCCCAGTACACCTCTGGCGCCCAATACTTTTAGTCAAAGATTCCACAGAAAAATCCTGATCTAAAGTGGGGGAATAGAGCAGAATTTCAACTTCTCATAGAATCCAGATTTTCTGCAGCCATGGAGGGTGAGTGAGACCCCACAACTCTTGCCCTGTTATCATCTTTAAGCCTTAAACCAAAAATATCCTCAGAAGTCTGTGAGGAACAGAAGGATTTCTCTTAAGTTGTCTCCCCAAAATATATGCCAGATTTAGCTTGAGAATGATTGTTCACTAGGCAGCAAAAGTAGGTCAGAGGTTATTCTCCCTAACATCAGCCATCTATAGTGGCTAGACTATTAGTCTGACTCGCCCTAAATAAGACCCACTCCCTTCTGATAAGGATAGTGGTTGTCTGTCTACTTGTAGGAGATACCAGAGAGGTCAAACCCGCCCAAGGATGACCAAGGTTAGGCAGCCATTATCAGCTGTCTAGATCAAGCAGACACCACTGTTTATCCCACAACAAATGTGGGCACACCCCTAGGTCATCCCCCTCCTATTGATTGTATTGCCTATGTCACTACCCCTCCCTGTGACTTAGGTTATTGTCTGCTATCAGGGGACTTGCATGCCTCCCAGAATAGTAATTGTCTATTTTATTGTATGAGACACCAGAATGATCAAACTTGTTCAAGAATGAAATGTATTGCCCCTCTCTGTATGACTCTGTAATCAGATCCCCCTAAAGTGATATGATGCGTGGTTAGCAATAAATAATGAGGCTCCCTGGTTCTCAGGAGGGTGGCTGGGGAAGGTGGCTAAGGAGGATGAGGCAGCGGCTTCTTCTCTGATGGCTAAGCCCCCTCCATGAGGACCATCAAGTGGGGCTGAAGTGAGCAATGCTACCATGAATTGCGTCTGACTCCATTACTTGACTCCGTCCTTTAACTCTCATGCTCTTTATGACTTTACTATATAACCTCTACTTATTATCACTGTACTATTGCGCCTACCGAACCTGTGATGTTTTGTGGGGTTCCCTCTCCCTTTAACCCCACAGAAGTCTTCTTTAAACTGAACAATACTTTAGCTTAACTAAGTGAAGAATGTTTGCCTCGAGTCTTGTGCTCTGCTTTAGAACTATCTCTAGGGGGGTAAAACTATTCGTAGCAACTCCAAAGGTCACACAGGAAATTCAGGGGCAGTGAGTATGTTAATGAGGGACAGGCTACTCAGGAAAGGGGGGCAAGGACGGTTACACAACTTACAGAATGTAATCAATGTCATTGTAATATACACATAGATAAGACTGCATCGTGTCAAAAAATAAATAAATTTCAAAATTAAAACAAGAAACCCTGGAGTGGGCTAGTGACTGGCCCCAGGCCCACAGTGGCAGAGTCAGATTTTGAAGTCAGTGTGGTCCCAGCCCCTTGCCCCTGCCCAGAGGCAGCAGTCATGAACACAGATCCAGAATCAGATGTACCACCTCTACAACCTTGGGCAAGTGACTTAAACCCTCTGAGCCTCAGTTTTCGCATCTGTCAATGGAAACTGACTGGCAATACTTCCAGTATTTGATGCGAAGTAAACCAGATATTTCTTTTAATGTGCAAAATATAGTGCTTAGGGCAGGGGTTCTCAAACTTTTTAAACAGGGGGCCAGTTCACTGTCCCTCAGAACCAATGGAAGGCCGGACTATAGTTTAAAAAAAAAAAACTATGAACAAATTCCTACGCGCACTGCACATAGCTTATTTTGAAGTGAAAAACAAAATGGGGCACAAACACCCAGCGGGCTGCATGAATATGCTCGGCAGGCCGCATGTGGCCCGCGGGTCGGTCGTAGTTTGAGGGCCCCTGGCTTAGGGTATAATAAACCCTCAAAAACCGGAACCTGTGGTCATTTAGCCCCAGATTCATATCAATAATGCATTTCATGTAAGTGGTAATCATGGTGGAATTTCAGCTCGGGCCTACACAATAGGGGACCCCTCACCACACCTCGTTAAGTACCAGGCTTGCTTCTTCCTTCAGTAAGTACAAACGGTCAGGACAGAGTAAAAAGACTCAGCGAAGCATTGAGATAAAAGGGGTTTGGGGGGGATCCCTTGACCCAAACTCTTTGATTACAAATTTTCTAGGGAGATTAAGGGACTTGCTTAAATTTACTCTCGCCAAATGAGCAGCAGCACCAGGACTAAACCTGCAATTGTTCCTCCACTCCTGGGCAGTTCTTTTTCCAATTCCAGCACGAGATCTGATGAGAATAATCCTGTAACAGTTATCTTCCAATCATCCAAGTTTAAAGAAACACGGCCCTTAATAGAACGGTTACCAGTGTTTTGGTCTTTATCTCCCCGCTAATTCAACAAACCATTCTTTGCAAGATCAGGAAGAGTGCACGTAGAAGTTCCCAGGCCACAGCACAATGCAATAAGTTTGCTTCCTTCTCCTCAGCGGCAAAGAGAGTTGGTCAGTTTGTGAAGCTTGGGCCCTCTGGGAGGCTGTGGACTGTGGCCATGATAAACATGAGCTCTCGTGTTTCAGAACTGATCAGAGGCAGGGCTGGGGCGAGCGCTGGAAGTTCGAAGCTCTGGCAAGTCCACAGAAGGAATCTTCTTTCCTGCCCCACCCTCTACCCTATTTGAAGTGAAAAACAACACGAACACTGCACTGTGAAAGCAAACCCAACACAGTTCTGCTTTTTTCCAAGACATTACTTTTTAATTTTTTTTAATAGAAAACATAGTGAGTTGTAGTGGGGTCCTCAAGAGACGTGCCCACCTTATGTATCAGAATATGCTCTGACTTGGACTAAGGGTCTCTACTGTTGTGATGAAGGTCGTGGTTGCAAAATGCCATCATGCGGGATTAGGGTGAGTTCTAAATCAATCCAATCGTGAGTGTCCTTACAAGAGACAGAGACAGGATGCATGAAAAGACAAGGACAGAGACTGGAATTTGGTAGCCCCACGTCAAGGAATGCCAAGAGTTGCCGCCACCAGAAGCTAGGTGGGAGGTGGGAGGTGTGAATGGGAACCAACCATGTCAGCACCTTGCTTGGGGACCTCTGGCCTCCAGAATTGTGGGAGAATAAAGTTCTATTGTTTTTAAGACGCCAAATCTGGGTCAGCAGCCCTAGGAAAAGAAAACAACAAATTAAAAATATATGTATTTGGAGTTTCATTCTTGGACCCCCCTGCTTTCTTGAAGCCAAAACTAAAACAAAACCCAACGAGGCTGACAGCAAGACCATGCTGATCTGCCTCGGGGGAGCTTAAAGAGAAGGTGTGTCCATTTTCAATGAAGTCATTATTGGAAGGCAAGATGAAACCGGAAGGGGAAAAATCCGGCAATTCATGACAGTGCCAAGGGCATTTGTAACTCTGCAGAGAACTCAATTCTGTGCTTGACCTATCTCTTCAATTACGGATAAAATGCTCCTGTTCTAGAAATATGTCTTCCGACCCCAACATTGAAGAGGGTCAAGAGCAAACTTTCTATGTGTCAATGTTGTGGCCTTCCATATAATAATATCCTGGCTAATTGGATTTTTTTTTCTTAATGCTTGCAACATTATTTTTTGTACCTCAGTTGAAAAAGAATTTCAGGATGACAGGAAATTGCCAGATCTACTTACGGTGAGAACAGCAGAGTATTAGAACAGGCGTCCTCAAACTACGACCCACGGGCCACATGTGGCCCGCCAAGGACATTTATCCGGCCCACCGGGTGTTTTTGCCCTGTTTGTTTTTTTACTTCAAAATCACTTCAAAAAAAGATATGTGCTGTGTGCCTTTCATAGTTTTTTTTTTTTTAAACTATAGTCCAGCCCTCCAACGGAACTGAGGGACAGTGAACTGGCCCCCTGTTTAAAAAGTTTGAGGACCCCTATAATTAGAAGATAATTACCTTCTTTCTGCCCCTCCCTCCGATGTGGCTATTTATCCAAAGAGGCAAATGTTTTTTTGAATGTGAAGTGTTATCGCAGAAGAGTGTTCATGAACGTGACCCATCAAGTAGAAGGGATTAAAGAATTTTAATTGCAGTAT